ACCAAAAGAAATTCCAAAACTGTTATTGACTTTGAGCTATTCTTAACGAAATACTGCATTTTTAAAATTAACTTGGATATAGGTACATTCTGCCTTTATGCACTTTACAGCATCTCCAATTGTTTAAAAAAGTTTTAAGTTTGATTTGTACCCAGTGTTGCCCTCTGCCAAAGGTGAAAGGGCAATGATGTTTTTGCTTGTGTCTGTGTGTGATTTCTATAGCATATTAGGAAATTATCTAATAAACTACATGATCATTTTTCATGAAATTTTCCATAAGTTATCATTGCATTGGTACAACAGAGTATTAGGGCCACACAATGAGAGTTTTTCCTTTTACAATGATGAAAAAATCCTATGTGACAGCCATGTGTGTCTCTGTGTTTATGAAGTAGTCCACGATGACTTTGGGGTCACTGTTAGTGTAATAGGCTTAAAATTACATCCACATCATGTGACGACAAAATCCATCAATACAGTCATTAACTGTAAAACAACTTAAGTTTATCATATAGTCGTTTCAAAGTCCTGCTACTGGTAATTTGATGCTGATGTGTTAAAATATTGTTTCTTTTAACTGATACCAAAGTACAACTGCACAAGATGCTCAACATTCCTCTTTTTAATGCAGTAGTAAGACTGCTTCTTTGTGTAGAAGTTATTGTAACATTACAACTTTGTTCTCAAACAACCTTTTGCTTGTAATATTACAACTTAAATCCTGTAACATTGTGACTTTATTCTCATAATAATAATAAAAAAGATCTTGTGGTGTGGTGGCACTCTGTCGTAGATTGGATATGCACACCAGCCCTGTTTCGTCCACTTTAACAGAAAGTCTGGTTCGTTTGGGGAGGTGTGAATGTGTAACTGAACTCTGATGTGAACCAAAAAAAGCAAACTCTAGTCCGCTTAAAAACCTAGATCTTGGTTCGGTCCAAGTGAACTCTGGTGCGGTTCAATTGCATGTATGAACGCCAAGCATACTGGAGACCGCTCCAAAAGTAGGAAGTGGACTATAACAGAGGGCATTCTGGGTAATAAAGTTACTCATATCCCTTGCTGGACATCTGTATATGTTACAATTCTGGTTCCCCAATCGAGCCAAGTCTACCGGGCTATCAGGTGTGGAAACACCCTGAAACTGATTAACTTCTGGAGTTAATTCAAGTCAAGATGGTCACCATAGCTAATCAAATTTAGCAGTTCTAACTCAGTTTATTGTACAGATATTGAGCTAAAATGTGGTGTCAACATAGACATGAACACGTCGCACAAGATTTTACCAAAAAACTGTTCCTTCTTATCATAAGATGATCTTAAAGTTTGTGTTTAGTATGCATTCCTTTTATTTACTTGTTTGTTTGTATCTTCTCTAACAGCAGAAGCACTGTACCCCTGCGGCTCTGGAGATGTATTACACAGATCAGCAGCAGCAGCAGGGGGAACCAGGCCTTCCCAGCAGCACTAACACCGGCTTCTACGCCTCTCTCAGCCACCTCAACCATGCCAAGAGGACTGGGCCCGAGCTGCCATCATCATGGTTACCAGTCATCAGCGCTGTGAAGGAGGCAGAGGAGGCTAAAGAAGGCAGCGAGACACTAAAATCAGGGCCAGAGGGACAAGAGTGAAGGTGCTGCTGAAAGGTGTGGTTGAACAGGTGGAAACTCACAACGTAGTGTATGTTTTTGTCCATGTGTGTGTGAGATTGGATAATCTATGACCTCTAATCTGTAGGCTCCAAATCACAACAGTTAAGAAGAGACATTTTCAGGAGTCAGGCCTGGTTTTAGGCTTGCAAATAGTTAAAGGGATCCCCGATTAGTTGTAACATTAGACTTTATATGATAAACATATAATTTAACTGTAAAATAATGACTGTAAAAATACTGTAGGCTGTTTAGTTTTTATAATTTTTAAATTAAAAGTTTAAAAATATATTACAGGGACGGGGCCATTTTATTTACTCGCAAAGCATTCTGAGAAATTGATGACATCAACTAGGTCATTGGTGCGAGGCTGCTAGCGAGCTATATCCACCCTGAAGGTTAATCTTGGACAATATCTGATGATCTACTCTTTTAAATGAAACCAGAGAGCGTTGACAGAGAGGAGAAGGTAGAAATGACTCAGCCTGGAACTGAAAATATGGATGGAGGACCTCAGTTTAGCTTGTTTGTCGCGCTAGCACTGAGCTAATAAATATAAGGCAATATAGTGTGAGGGCAAGCGCAAAGGCTAACAGGCTAATCTGAGGTTCTTCTTCCATGAAGCAGCTCTGTTGTCCTCCATCCATATTTTCAGTTCCAGGCTGAGTCATTTCTACCTTCTCCTCTCTGTCAACGCTCTCTGGTTTCATTTAAAAGAGTCGATCATCAGATATTGTCCAAGATTAACCTTCAGGGTGGATATAGCTCGCTAGCAGCCTCGCACCGATGACCTAGTTGATGTCATCATTTACCCACAATGCTTTGCGTGTAAATAAAATGGCTCCGTCCTTGTTAAAATATATTTTAAAAAATTTACTAAACTAAACATCCTACAGTATTTTTACAGTCTTTATTTTACAGCTAAAATAAATGCTTATCAAATAAAGTTTAATGCTACAACTAATCGTGGATCCCTTTAAACACATGTGTGTCATCACTCACTTATCTGCTTCTGTCCATACCCTGAAACTTGCTTTTAAATAAACTTAGCACAAAAAGTTAAGAGATTAGTGTTTGGTAGATTTCTTTGTTGTAAAAATGCTTTGTGACAATAAATCTTATAGCGGGCAGCTGATTGGCAGCACCTGGGCTACCAGAAGCTTAAAACAAGTGTCAATAGCAACAGACAAATTTAAGTGTTTTGCAGAGAAAATTTGGTAATTTTTCATGTGCACATACTCAGCTCCACTGCTCATCCCACAGAGGCATGTTCCTTACAAATGTGGCACCTTTTAAAAAGGAAATGAACAGGCTTTCCAACGTTATAAGACTTGTTGCCAAAAAGCATTGTTACAACAAAGAACTAATCTACCAAACACAAATGTTGTTACTTTTTGTGCTAATCAGCATGGAACGTGTTGCTACTACTGAACGTCAAAAAACCCACCAGTTTTGCCTCCTCTGTTTGCCTGTACTTCTGTTAACACTTTAAACTACACACACACACACACACGTGTCAGCAGAAATGTAACGTGTGTTTTTGCGTCGGTGTGCTGCATTTGCACACGAAACCTATCTGAGAGGTGAAGAAAGAGAGGCGAGGTGAGAATTCACAGATGTGAAAATAAGTTTCTAACGAGAGCGACGTGTTCTCCCGCTGCTTCTTAATCCATCTCCTCCTGAATGAAGAAGCTCTCAGTCTGATAGTTGGGCTGTTTTAAATGTGTTGAGTAGAGTTAACTGTCTGTAAATCGTGTTTTGTTCAGTTTAAGGAGAGAACAAAGAGAAAATGACAAATTAATTGATTGATTTGTAGTAAAGTTAATCCAAGTAGTGTTTAATCATGTGAAGAAGCTTCGATACTTTCTTCACTTCGACACTTTTATGTTTACGTAATATTATGAACTAATTCATTTTTACAATGATGCCTTTTTTATATAAGCTAAATGTGAACGCTCACTCCTAATATCCCATCCCTGTTTGGGCTGTAAGTTTTCTGCAAAGATACGTTAACATGTGATTTCCTGTATGATCCCTAACTGAATGTAGAAAATAGCTGCTTTAATCTCACCGCTGATGGTCTTGCTTATGATGTAGAAGCTAAATGTTTCTGTGTTGTTGTTGTTTTGTATTTATTTATCTGCACATTAACTTTATTGGAAAGATTATTTTTTAAAAAATGTGTTATTTATCTTTTAAAGTCAACACAACTAGTAAATAACCTGAAATGACTTGATACATGAAGTAAATTGTTCTTTTTTGAAATTTAGTGTCACCTTGTGCTCTTTTTTTTGTCTGAATGTTAAATTTCAATCTAGAAGATAATAAAGAAAGTGACTGTAACACAGCTTATACTGCATCTCCAGGTTTAAGTGTAAAAACATTTAAATATGTCTTGATGTTTTTGACTAAACAGAAATAAATAAAGTGTTGGGTTTTGATATTAACTAGTTTTGTTCTAAAGATTTAATACGAGTTTCAAGATTTTTTTTTCACGTGGTTTCATTCATTATTATTTATTAAATCAAATTAAAACATGCATGATGTTAATCTTAATAGAAAACAATAGAAGATGAAAATAAAAATCAAAATGACGTAAAATGTATTTTACTGCAATTGGTCACATTTTGATACCCCCCCCCCCAACCCAAAAGGAAAAAAAAACAGACATATTTTACTTTATTCATAAAAATCTGTGTTTTCTCCTATATAACAGTTTATGTTCTTTGCTATACATTTTAAAATTCTGCTGTTTTAAGTACAAAAGCGCAATTTTAGTTTCTGCAACCAAACAAATTTCAAAGCCTTTATAATAAAACTTAACAGCTATTTTTCTTAGTTAAATTTATCTGATTTAAAACACTTTTTATTCACTTCATCTTCTGAAAAACACAACTTTTTATTGTTGTTGTTTATAGAATTATTTTTTGAGTTGGATTGTCATTGTAAAAGTCCAGAGTGTCATACAGTATATCCCTAAATTCATTTGAAGGGTTCTGTTAAAGGGTTATAAAAAAACATCTTACCTGTTGCAGATAGTTTTTTGAATAATCTAAACTTGGAGAAAACTACTGACAGGACTACCAAGCTAACTGAGTGAGGCTGAAGTGATTGTTGCCATCTTAAAACAACCCCAGTCCCCCACAAAAAGTGCCTAAAAATACTGTTACATAAACTTAGTTTCACATTACACAAGTATTCTGGCAAAAATCAGAGGATATTCCTGCAGGACTGAGCTGCTTCTCTGTTACTCTTAAAGCCCCTCGAACATCAAAGTTGGCATTTTTGCACAAAAAAAAAATTATGCACAGGGCCTTGAGTGAGTAAAAAATGCACACCTTCTTCTCCGTCTATGGCTGAAGGACGCTCAGTCTGCACAGAGTTCAAAAAATGACTCCTCAAACTGCAGTTTAGTGATTCAAAGCCAAGCCACATCCTCTGGTTGTCTGCTGCTGTGAGGCTGTCTGCATCTCATTTACACTCACATATTTTCACACTGTTGCTGTGAACGCAGGGATGTGTGGCTTCAAGTGTGTGTGTGTGTATCACTGTGAAATCATTAACTGTGTGTGCTAAGGTTTATGTGTTTGTGTGTGTGTGTGTGTGTGTGAGCGCCCATGCTTAGCCTGTTAATTAAATCTACATTATGCTCAGTTTAGCCTTTAGGCCTCTCTTCTCTCCACGGTTACTGCCTGACATGCTTTAGATGCTGCTGGCTCTCGGCGTTGAATCAAATGAAGTGTTAAAAAATATTTATGAGAGCATTTACAGATCCCATGTGTCGTCAAAGCACAGCGAGTTGGCTTCGATCCAGGCCCGCAGGAAGAAAAAAATCACGTAAAATCATCCGAGTACAGTCACGTAAAGACCGCCAAGTCCATTTTCCTGCTCCGCGGGAATGAAGAATAAAGTAGCAGGTTGGTATTTTCTGCTTTCCTGAATGTTTGGATTTCTGAGCCCACCTTTCCTTTGGGCTCCTCCTGAACTAACAAGAAGTCATGGAGTTATTTTGCTCTTTACCTTCTCATCAGATTCAAGATTCAAAGTGTTTATTGTCATATGCACAGACGAAAACATATTTTCACTGAGCAATGAAATTCTTACTTTGCCATCCATTTTTGAAAGCCGAGAGATAACCATATTAACAAAAAAAAAAGAAACGAATCATCATCGAAAGGACACAAACAATGTTGATTAGATAAAAAGAAGAGACTAAACTAAGGGTAACATCAGAAGTGAACAATATAATAATAATAATAATAATAATAATAATAATAATAATAATAATAATAATAATAATAATAATGACAACAAGAAGGGAACTCTACAATCTGTTTTAAAGTGTAATGTGCAAATGTGCAACAGGTAACAGTCTGAAATGTGCACATGTGCAATAATAATAGTCAGAAGAATGTCCCATTCAGCTGTTTAAGATTCTGATGGCACTTGGGAAAATGAGTTATTGTATCTGGAGGTTCTTCAGAGTCCCATTCCTCTTTGACATTTTGTTTTTGTGCATCAAGACCTCAGTTTTTACTTTACTTTTAATTACTTTGACTCAGTTAACTGAAATATTTTTTGCTTATTCAGCACAAACGTTTCTGGCAGGAAACGACTTGTTTAATATTATTTATTTATTTATTTATTTATTTATTTTTTTAGTTTGAATTAATCATATTTTAATGGAAGCCTATTTCCACAACTCTGATGAAAGAAAAAAAACTGCTTCTATCTCATAATTATGAGATATTGTCTCAAAATTGTGAGAATAATATTAATGAACTGCATTAGTAAAAATAACAAATAAAATGTTGCAGAGTTTTAGTGCTGCAGGTGTTTGTTCTTAAAGTTTTTTTCTCTAAATAAAATCAAATAATTAATCTCTTTCACAGCATCTCAAGCATTTAAACCTGATTCCTCAAACAGTTTATTATTCCGCCAACAACTCCTGAACCATATGTCAAACTCGTGGCCCACGGGCCAAATAGGGCCCTCGTTATCTTTTCATCTGGCCCCAAAAGTAATACTTTAAATGTGAAATAGTTTTATGGTTTCTCATTTTGTCTCTGGATTTTTTTAGTTCATTCCTCCCTCAACAGCTAGCCAGCCTTCAAGCCAAGAAAATTAAGTTTGAATGTTTCAGTATTATGATGGGTGCAGAAAGAGCAACAGAGAACCAACTTTAATTATCCTTTGTTGTGTTATTTTCACGTAAACAACAAATTATTGCATTTGCTGGATCCTGCCGACAACGCCAACTGTTATGGTAATATTTATTTAACAAAGACAGAAATACGTGGTCCAAGAATGAAGGTACTCCGTGACATGATCAGCTGAGTTTTATTGCAACAACAGGAAACACAGAGAACAACCTGCCCTGTCTCTGTGCCTCTGCTTCTCTCTGTCACTGTCTCTCCACACTACTGTTGAACTCTGTTTCTCGAGAGGCCTCATATATGTATTAACAAACACCATTATATCATCATAGCAAGGTTTGATACAAGGTCAATGGAAAACACAAAGATAAACACAAGTGATATCTAAGAATGATTGTTGTTAGCAGATCTTGTTCTGACTTTAATCATTCTGTCTGCTGATAAACAGCATGTCATGAAAACCTAGGTCATTAAAGGATGTCATGAATTACTTGCTTAAACATAAAAGTATTAGATCCACCACAGTGACAAAATGTGATAAATGAAAAGGTTGTTGATAGAGTAAGGCATAATAAATAAATGCTAAAGATGAGTCTTTCTAAAAAATATATAATTTCTTTATCTGTTAGGTTATGTATTTACTAAATGCTACACAAACTAAAATGATTCAGAAAAAGGTTGTCTGAATTTTTATAAGAATAATTAGTCATATAACAACTATAAATATTGACAGAAATTGGTCCTTGGCTTGACCAGGTTTTGAATTTCAGCCCTCTTGTGTGACTGAGTCACATCACCGATAAAAGACCTGATTTTTTTCAGCAGAAAATAATGAGAATTTAGTCAATTTTACAGCTTTCTTTACGAGGTTTGTGGGATTTCTTTAAATTGTTTTTTTCCCTCACAGATGTTCCACTCTGTAAAGTAAACTCAAACATCGGAGCAACAGATTCAGGCACAAAAACCCATCCTGTTGAGTAAAACTTTAACACTTAGAAACCTCGTGGAAAGTTTCAAATTTATACTGAAAACCGACTAAATCTGTCATGAATCATTTCGTATTTTTAGCAGCTGTAGAAAGAGCAAAACTAATTTAGCTAATAAATGAATAAACAACTCAGAGAATCAGTCTGAAACAAGCTAAATAAAATGTTTTTAGTCTTTTCATTGATTGTTTTGGTCATCATCTAAAAGAGGTCTGAATCTGCTCCGGAGTCTAAAACCTGTGGACACTGGCAGGACTCTTGTCGCCCTGCAGGGAACAGGAAAGTGCTTTATTGGAAACAAAATTAAAGTGCATGCTTTTATTTAACAGTTTTTTTTTCCAGGAAATTGCAGACTCTCCAGCACCACCGAGGAAACCACAGACCACATACTGGTTTTAAAGATGACCTAGCAGTGCCAGGCATCAGCACAAACACATTAAGGTGTAACTGGTCTTCGACAACAGAAAAGAAAAGAAGAAGAAAGAGGGAGGAAAAAAACCATCCTGGTGCTTGTTTTTGATTGGTTGTTTCTGCATCACATGAGAGAGCCTCTTAAAGGTTAATTTCACACTTTGCTGTAAGCTGAATGTTTTATTGTTTGCCCCTAGCAAGGGAGAATTTCACAGTAAAACTGGTTACCCAGAGCGTTTTATTTTTTTTTTAAAGGACAATTTTTAGACATTTAATGACAATAAAAAGTGGGGGAAACGAGGCGGGGAGAGTGAAACAAGGGAGGGACATAAGTTTGAAAAGGGAGAAAAGAGCAGATGAGAAGCGGACAGGCCTGGGAAGTGAAGGTGGGGAGGAGGAGGAGGGACAGGGCCAAGAGGCACCGAGGAGGAGGAGGAGGGTGGATCTGAGCTGACCCCTGTGTCTGTGTGTGTTGTTGTGTGTCTCAGTGGGTTTCCTCTGCCCTGGCGCCAGCTGGAAATGCCTCCACTAAGCTCAGGGAGCGCACACACATCATCCTCCATTCACCAGCACTCTGCCCCCTTAAAGGAGAGGAAGACCATCCATCCTCAGCCAGGCCTGCAGGTCTGATCAAGCTGCTGTTTGAAAAGCAGCTGATCACGCTTTGGTTCCGTTTCTTTGGACCTGCAGAGCAAATAAACACAAACTGAGCATGTTTTCTAATTGAAGTGATGGATTTACTGATGAGGTTTACATGAGAGTTTACACCACCACCTAGGGGTCATCCCCTGTTGTCGCAGAGAGAAATGAATATTCTGTGCTTGTTTTCAACCATTAGAGCTGAAAAACGCTTCTTAATGCATCATTTTTCTTCATAACACTTATTAAACGTTTATTCTCACGACTTGAACACTTACAGTTAGATTAGTCCCAGTTGCTGTTTGAAGGTGATGATCTTTACAAAAAAAAAATGACTCAGCAACCATGAAATTAGTCATTACTTTGCTATCCTGTCATGATGTCGCCCTCATGCAACAAAAAACCCTACCAGTAAACAATTATCCACCCGGCGTGACCCAAAGCTGCAACGCAGACCTGCAGTGGGGGGGAACAAAACCAACCAAAGTTTGCTTCTCTTACAGCTTTTAAGTTTGCTTTGTTCTGCCGGTTTCAGAGCTGACACGCTGTCGTTACTCATCGACCAAATCGTTTTACAACATCCTGCAATTAAACTCTAAGAAAATAGGTTAATGAGACAAATTAAATTTGAACGCTGAGAGTTCTTTTAGTGATTGTCTTGCAGGGAGGAGTGCAACACACACACACACGCACGCACACACGCACACATGCAAACACAAACAAGGAACAGACTGGTTTGATTTAGGCTTTGCGGTCCCCTCCTGGTGGAGAGCTTCAGAGCAGAGAGCAGTGAACTCCGGTTCAGCCCGGGCCTGCCTGTCTCTGCTCAGCTTCAAACCCAAACCCTTCAAATTAGGTGTAATCTGTGTTTTCGCTTCGCCAATTATCGAGCTGCATGGCAAATAAGGATGAACGAGCTTTAGATGGGCCTGTTTAAGAGGGAAGGTCACAGAGTGATTAATGGTGATCCGGTAAAATCGCGACTCTAAAAACGTTGGAAAGGACGGGTTTCTCAGACATCTGCAGGACTAATGCAGGACATGAAGTCTCACTTAGACCAGCGTGGGTTTGTGTTTCAGAATGGAGGAAAGAAAAACCTGGTTTCTGTGTCGTGTTGCACCAAAGCTGTGGTAATGGCAGTCTAATGAAGAGTGATTTTCTCTTTTATTATTCGTTTAATCTGGGATGCACGATATCAGCATTAATATCAGTATCGGCCAATATTGGTCATTTTTTATAATGTTGGTATTGGTCCAATATGTAAGACTGGGCCAAAAATTACTTTGTGTATTGATTTTCCACTTTTTAGTTTGGTGTTTCTGTTTTAGGAGGGGAGACGGTTGGTTGAGCAGCATCTGTTTGATCAAGCTAATGATATTGACGCTGCGTAGCCAGGAATAACTGATGTAGAGCCATGTCAGAGGTCTGGTTGTTTATTTACGGTATCAAAAAAAGACCCAAGTGTGTTTGTGCGTATAGGTATAATTTAATTTGTGTTTGTGTAATATCTGTAAATATCAGTTATCAGTCATAACAGCAATAATTATATCGGATATTGATGTCGGCTGAAATTTTCATATCGGTGCATACCTAATTAAAGTTATAGGAAAACAAGGTTTCATTTAAATGAATATCTTTATTTTCTGAGAAGTGGCAATCTGACTTCAAATTTTCAAGAATCAATAACAGCAAGGATGTGGAAATCATTTTTAAACTGTAAAAATCATATCACTGTAGCCAGAATCATTAAAGGAGCGGCTGTGGCGGAGTGGTTAGGGGAGTCGTCCTGGAACCAGAAGGTCACTGGYTYGATCCCCCGTCCAGCCGTCTCAGTCGTTGTGTCCTTGGGCAAGATACTTCACCCACCTTGCCTACTGATGGTGGTCAGAGGGTCCGGTGGCGCCGATGCATGGCAGCCCCACCTCTGTCAGTGTGCCCCAGGGCAGCTGTGGCTACAGTGTAGTTTGCCATCATCAGTGTGTGAATGTGAGTGTGGATGGGTGAATGTCTGTTAGTGTAAAGCGCTTTGGGGGTCCGGAGGGACTTGAAAAGCGCTCTATAAGTTCAGTACCATTTACCATAATGTGTTTCCAATGCATATTTAAGTTGTATACCATAGTAAAATAACTATGTCACATTTAGTTGTTATTAAAATGTTGTTTGTTTATATGTTTAAATAGAAAATAAACTTGACTTCTCATCATATCTGTTGAAATTGGCCTCTGTCTCTTTAAGAACCTCCTCCTCCTTCTGTCCCACCCTTTTCAACACGGGGCAGGTGGGCTCTGTGATGAGGAATAGGGATGGGATAAATGGCTCTTTGAAGGGATCCGGATCTTGGGGAGCCGTTTGTTTCGTAGAGCCGTTCAAAAGAGCCGTTCGATTTTGAACGAGTTGCATCATCACGCAGGGAAAAACGTCATCACGTAGGGCGACGTGATGATGTCATCACGTTACGTGGGTGGAACCATGTGTTTTGTCAAGCAGAAACCCACCTTTCCTGTGGGCTTCTGCACTCCATGCCTGTTTTCCATGAAAAAGCAAAACAGGAGCAATTTAAGGATGAAAAAATAAAGATTATATAAGGAATAAAATAAATAATACTACAAATAACTCGTTACTGCCCGCGACTCGGCTCCTATCGTTCATTGTAAAGAGCTGTTCAAAAGATTCGGATCACTTGTGAACATCACATTACTAATGAGGAAGCTCAGCTTGGAGACAGCCCAGAGGAGGAGCTGATCCCAAATGGTGGTTCTAGTCCCAACCAGTCATTTTTGCTCCCCTGCCTGCTACCTCAGGACACTACAGGATTTCTCAAACATGCATGAATGAGTCAAAGTAAGACTTTAGGCATGTTTTTGATGACAGGATAACATTATAACATTATATAAAACTCAAAAAAGTTGATTTTACGTGATATTGCCCCAATCCAACGTCATCTGTGGACCTGTTGCTTACCAGCCTGCATGTTCATGTGATGGCAGGTCCTGCTGTGGGAGGAGCTGTAGCACAGCAGAGAGCAAGGAGAGTCCTGTGAGATGGGCTTGTTCAAATTTTCAGGCTAAAGCCTGAAACATACTCACTCCGACGCCAATCGGTCAACGCGTGGTTGTTTGGCGTTCGTTTTCACACACACACACACACACACACACACACACACACACACACACACACAC